ATTCTTAAAATTTGATATTAGTTGACACAAGTATTAACGTTTCCTTTATTCAAATTATCTAATGGTCTAATGTTAATTTTTATTATGAAATAGACTATGTTAAATGAAAAATATCCTTACAGTATTCAACAAGTATTAGTTATTGTTTTCCACTTCCAACAACAATACTTTATAACAACAATATACTAAAGGCAACATAAATATGGTTAGTAATTAATTTAAGACTTAAATATGTTTTTAGTTATTTAATTTTAAAGTAAATTTATTTTTAGTCTCTTAAATTTAAAAATAATCTTTTTAATTTTTGTAATTTCAAAAAATTTAGTTTAATTCTTATTATTCAAATTTTATTAAAAAATTTGTCAAATATTTTTATATAGAATTTATCTATTAATATTTTTATTAGTGAAAATATCACATTAAATCTTATTAATAGTATATAATTGTTTTAATTTATTACTTTCAGATATAGTATCAATGACTTGAGAGATTAAAATAAAGTTTTGAAAATTTTAAAAATTAAAAATAATAATTTTAAATTTAAAAAATTAAAAATAAATTTAAATTTAAAGAATTAAAAATATATTTAAATTTTAATTCAAATTCATTTACGACATTTCGTTTGGCTTTTTGTCTACTCCCTACCATCTTATATATAAACAAAAATAATAATTAAAAATAATAATATATTTAAATTAAAAATAATAATTTTAAATTTGAAAAATAAAAAATAAATCTAAATTTAAAGAATTAAAAATATATTTAAATTTTAAATTAAATTCAATCACGAGGGAATGACAAGTGATGCATTTCGTTTGGCTTTTTGTCTACTCCCTACCATCTTATATATAAACAAAAATAAATGTTTGTTGATTTTAAATATAAATAAAATACAATTAATCTTACGCTGCTTAATAGTATGCTTAAATATAGTTTTGTTCTTTATAATTTTTGTGAATATGAAATTTTAAAATTTTAAATTTTTATTACAAATTTAATATTTTTAATTTTTTAAACTAAACAACATTAATTTTCCATTAACATATTATTAAATTAAAAATAAAATTATGACACTTGTTTGTGAGTCACACTAGGATCATTACCTGACCCTGATTTAGCCACAATGACTTTTATACAAAGAAAAACATTACTAGTTTTATTTTTTAATACTGTTATTTTATTATGTTGTTAACTAATTTCAAATAATATCACCTACATATATTCGCCAGTATGATTTGTGTAATTTTGAATAAAATGTTAAAGATAGTGTTTAACTTTAAAAATTAAGGACCAAATTTATAATTAAAAAAAATTGCACCCAAAGTATCAAAATGAATTTAAGTATTAATAATATCATTCTCAAATTCAAAATACTATCCCATTAAAATAAAATAGTATTTCTAACAATTTTTAATTCCCAAATTATATATTATTTTTAAATAAAATAAAAAATATTAACTAATTAACATAAATTAGTTATTCTTTTCTAGTTATATATTGGGCCAAAGAGTATAACGACCAGAAGAAGGGTTAGAGCAACTTTAATGGGAGTTGCTTGTCTGATGAAACAACTCAAGTTCCAAGACTCTGACGTGGTAACATGAGTTGCTTGAAGAAGAGAGAGTTGTTTATTCAAGCAACCGTTCTTTACCAAATTTCAAGTAGATTTTATTTAACATATTTGGGAACGTTTCGGAAATAATAATGATGAAAATTAATTTCGTATAATGTCTATTTATTTACTATTGTTTTACTTTATTTTTAATATCTACTTATTGTGTATTTTTTCTCGTAATTTATTTTATTTCATTGTAGTGTAATTATCCTTTTTAATAAAAATTTAAAATTAGTTCATAAATGATTAAAAAAAATTTTAAAAATTGAAATTTTTTAAAACTTCTTATTAGAGTAAATTTGTGTTTAAATTACTTAATACTGATATGATACATTAAAAATTACTTTTTTTCATTTTTTCAATGCATAGAAATAACTTATTGGAGATGCCTTGCTTACTTTACTAGAGATTGGTGATGTTCTTGATAACTGTGACAGAGAATCCGATGCATTATCCAAACTTTATTTCTACTATCGTAAGATTACACATATCTTCACGGAAGCCAATTCATGTTGAATACTATCTCTAAACCTTATCCCAATATCTTAAAGAATGATAAGTGTTCCTTCTTTCATGTTTAATCTTCTTATTTGCTTTATGGCAAGTATATGAATTGACATTTTGTTTTAATAAAAACAAAGTACGTGTTATATTTTAATTAACCATTTCTTGTTATATTCTTAACCATTTCCTGTAGAAAAATAAAATATAAAAATTTAACTAATATATTAAAAATTACAACATAATAATTTTCGAATTTTTTACATAAATAATATATTTTTTTTAAAATTACAAAAGTAACATCTGTACAACATTATTTACTCAACTAGAACCAATCACTGTTCATGCTCAGAATTCGGTTCCCGGGAAACCGAATTCTGAGCTTCAATTTTTATTTTTTTTTTGTGTTCAGAATTCGGTTCCCGGGGAACCGAATTCTGAGTTGTTTTTAATTTTTTTTGCGTTTCTGGGAAGTGAAACGGGCCGTTCCGAAAGCAGAACGGCCCGTTCTGCTTAAACAAATAGAGTGTTATTTTTGAAATTGGAACGGCCGTTCTAAACCCGTTCCAATTTCAAAAATAACACTCTATGTGTTTAAGCAGAACGGGCCGTTTTGCTTCCGGAACGGCCCGTTTCACTTCTCAGATTCGCCCAAATTGGGCCTCAAACGCAAAAAAAAAAAAAAAAAAAACTCAGAATTCGGTTTCCCGGGAACCGAATTCTGAGCACAAAAAAAAAGGAAAAAAAATATTGAAGTTCAGAATTCGGTTTCCGGGAAACTGAATTCTGAGCATGAACAGTGATTGGTTCTAGTTGAGTAAATAAAGTTGCACAGATATTACTTTTGTAATTTTTTTAAAAAAAATATTATTTACGTAAAAAATTCAATAATTTTCACGAAGTCTAAAATATTAATCCCTCCATTCTAAAATTGTCATTGATTTATTATTTCTTTCTTTTTTCGAAAGTTAAAACTTCGATGTTTTTATAAATTTTAAGTCTTATTAGTTATTAATTTTTTTACACATATCCATATTTAATAATATGTTTTAGGCAACAACTATTCTCATAACATGTATTAGATGAAAATATTTTAAACTAAATATACTATATTATGTATAATAGTTAATTGATTATTTATTTTCATTTCAAATCTCAATGAAAATAATTAAATTATAGTTAAGAACATTTCATTTTAGCTTTTATACATACAATTTTTGTTCTTTTTTAGTTTATGTTGTTTATTTTTATAGGGACTAAAAAAATTATACAATTATAAAGACTAAAATTAAGTTTATGTAATTATAAAGATTCAAAGAAAAAAAATAGTATGTTTAAAGACTATTTTTTTTAATTATAGAAACTATAAGACAAAATTTAAAAAAAAGGAGGTAATTTTAAATTATTTCCTTCCTCGCTATTTTATTTTCCTCTATCCACAACAGGGTTAAAGTATATACAAACTTGTCTAACATTTTACAATAATTCAAGATCTTAAAAATTAATTCAACCTTTTATTTACGCACTTTTTTTTTTAATATATGCAAACACATACTACATCTCTTTAGCATTTATTACATCTATCTTTAAGCCTAATTTTGGAGTTTATACAAATATATTTTATATATGCAATCTAACATGTTTCCACTTATAAAAATCACATTTTAATAAATTATGTTGTAATTTCCATTTAAATCAAAGATAACTATTTTATGGGTTATCATAAAGGATTTTTTTGACTAGATTTTCCGCTTAACAAATGCCTAACACCAAACCTTATCCTCATGTTAATGATGCAAGACATCAAACAATAAAATTTCCTTGTCACAACTTTAGGAGTTGGATTCTCGTTTTCACTAGATCAGTACATTTCAAGAAACACGTCACTTATCTAAAAAAAAACAAAGAAACACATATCACTTAATTCGTTGTGTACACGTGTTGTCCACTATGTGTCCACTCCACGTCCCCCAAACTTGTCCTTACCTTTGTTCAGTGTTTTTAAAAAATAAAAAATAAAAATCAAACAGAACAAAATATTATACTAAGAAGTAATGCATTGTATTTTAAAATGAAATTTATTTTAATTCAACTAAAAATAATGAAAGAAAAAGGGACAGAACTTTCATTTTGTTCCGCTTGCTTACCAAACACTAGTCCTTTTACATTTACAAATAATATAGTATCACCCTAAAAAACCAAGACAAATCCTGGATAGTCACTAGTTACTACTGTCAAATGTTTTCAAACTAATTGAACATAAGGAGTATCAGAAAATGTCTACTTCATAATTTACTAGTCTTTATTATCAACCAAAAAAGAAACCCAAAAAGACATGGAAGGACAGGCTTTACAATATTACTTCAAAAGAGCATGGGCAATGCACCGAATACAAATAGTTTTTATGCATGGTTAATGTAAGGATTTTTATACTAATCAGTTAATTACAAATATCCCTAAATAAACATTTTAAAATAGTAATTACAAAAGTCAAATAGATTAAAAGATACAGGCGAATAACAAAATTAAATATACACATGAAGATAAAAGGATGGTAGTTTGAGTCTTTGAGATGATTGGGAGATTTGTTTTTTAACTAATTGCAAGAATAGTGTGTGAAATGCATATCCAAAGAAAAGAAGAGAAGAAATATTAAGAATGTTGAATTGAAAGAGCATTTTCATTGATAACATTTGAGTAGATAGGTCATGAGCAGAATCAAAGTATAAGTTAAAATCATTAGTTATACCTTCCAAGTAAAAAAGGAAAAGAAAACATGTGAGAGTCAAATGATCGTTATTGTATATTTCTGAAAGTGATACGCAATAGTTTTACACTGGCTTGATTGTATGAGTGCATGTAGCAGAGGAGATTTACTGGCTTCAATGAATCAGTAAGGTCCACAATATGAAGATTAGCCTGTTCCCCTAGGGATAGAAAATAGTTGAAAGTTTCAATATTCCGGATAACACATGCAATATAAGCCACTGTTGCTTCCTTTGACAGGCATTTACTACTACCATCAGATCTATCAATAGCATCTTTGTAATCATGTTCACCATTTTCATGTTCAATGTTTAGAGAAGGGTCCTTGCAACTTGCAGGCTGTCTGCAAAAGCCCAAATTCATCTGATTCAAAAGAATGGAAAGTACTCGAACAAGATGTGGCAGGCAAACTGGATCATATATCACATCTGCACCCAAACTGAATTAATAATATAAGAATGGCATTTGAATTACTGATGGATTTAAAGAAATTAATTCTCAGTAGTTGAATAGAAACTTCAGTTGAACTCTCACACAACATCTGGCATGATATCTTGAAGTTCACTTTCGGATGCAGATTCCCACGGCAAATACAAGCATTTTACCTGAGGTAGATGGGATCAGCGAATAATAAAGAACCTTAGCACATACAATTCAGGTTATATTCTCTTCTATCAGCACAAACAAAAACACATTACTTTTAAAAAAAAATGTCAAAGGGTGCAGATCTCATATATACACCAGACAGCTTTGGTTTTAGTTTTTATCAACACATACTAGACTGTCACCAAAAGGACAAAATAAATTTTCAAAAAGAAAATTTAAAAACTAATCTTCCATGAACAAAACAACAATCACATATTGGAATTTGGAACCATGCACTAAAAGTAAAAACTACTGAAAATATGGATAAGGGGATGCGGAAATGTGCTGGTGTAAGCACATCAACACCCTGCAAGAATATAAGTAAAAACTTGAGATTTAAAATATTGGTAATTATTATTTATATCAGTTTAGCAAAAATCTCAGTATCATATGCAAAACCTGAGAGATGAATGCCGTGAGGAAATTGCATTCTCTATATATGAAAGCAAAATCCAATGTACAATCTATGCAAATTCAGACTCACCGTGCTTGGATTTTTGTTTCTTTCCGGCAAGTCAGCTTCAACATTCAGGTGGTTCAACTCCAAATTAGACTTCATGTTAGCTAAAGTTGATAGGTCACCATCACTTAATATCACCTGTTGATAGACGATAACCAAAATCCTAGTTGGCTAAATTCAACTACAATAATACCACCTAATATTACACATATAATAATAAAATAGCACTTTTTTCTTGTTTAAATTTCACTGTTCTAGCAAAAACATCATATTTAATAGCAGAAATGCCATCATTCAAAATGTTCAAGCATAGTCCTCAAGTATCGCAGGTCATACCTTGGAAGCTTTTACATGGGCTAGACATAATCCAACTAAGCCAACTCCTGAACCAATCTGTTTCAAATTTTAAGAAAGTGCACCAAGGTATAATAAGAACAGCGGAATCTTAATGCAACAAATGAAATCACAAAAAATTATAAACAGAACACAAACATTGTAAGGGAAAAATTATATCTGAGTCTCAGAGTCTCTCTGTTAACATCAAAATTACTACTAGATTCAACAAACTCTTAAACATATACTGACCTCAAAGCATGATTTATTAGAAAATAATTCTGGATGAGAAAGTATTAACTCAGATAGAAACAGACTTGATGGCCATATTGAGCACCTGCACAACCAAACCAATAAACATGGTATATGCATATTAAGGGAAGAAATATTACAAGCTGTAGATAGAACCAACAAATGCCCTAATCAGTGGTATTGCTGAATCCAAGTTGTATTCTCAAGGAGCAAGAGCACTGATTATCACTTAGAAGAACTTTTGTATTGACAAACAAACAAGACATAACAACCATAAAATGCCAGGGCATGTTTACTTCTGTTTTCATTTTTTATTTACAAAACTGTCACCTTTTTTAAAATATGTTTCCTAATTTCTAAGGTTTGTACATGAAACAGAGATATCAACATCAAAAAGTTATTTTCACATTTCATGTAAAAATCATTGAAAACAAAAAACATGTTCTATAAGCAAAAACTGTAAGAGTTTTGTAAACTATAAGCGAAAACAGAAATAAATGGGCCCTTATATTCTACATGTAGAGTTTTTTAAGGTATGAAATACGAGCATACCCAGTATCACCTTCAAGCATGTTAAGAGAACACTGCAATGAAAATTCCAGTACCCTTGACTGCGGACAACTTTGTAGTTCAGAACAACCTATCGACACCAGTTTACCAACCAAAGGTAAGCCGATTGAAACAACATCATAAGAATGAATGAATAAGAGAAACATCACCAGAATCATGATTTACCATCAGGAAAAGGAAAGGAAATTCTTTTGCAGATTCTGGCACCTCTCTTGACTAAACTATCATCCTAACAAAAAAAATCCTGAAACCTCAAAACAACTAACAAAAGGAAACTTGGCGTCTTTCTCTGTAAGTACTTCTAAGAGGAGAAAAAAATATGAACAAAATCCAACAAATTTCTCTATAAATTAAGTTTTCCAAAAAGCTTATTAACTTGGTATAAGCTAATTTTAACTCATGAAAAAACCATTTTTTTCTCATACAAGTGTTTACTGATAAGTTTATCCATAAGTGTTAATAGAGAAAACCTTGGATGATGTCATATAGAGAGCATAGAGTTCGTACAAGTGGTCCAACACACAACCATGGTCGAACTCAACTTGAGTGATGAGTTTCTTGAGAAAATTCTTCAAGTAAGGAGCATGAAAATCACCCTGCATTCACCACTCTAACCAATAAATCAAACAGAGCAATGCAAATTAAAAAAAAAAAAAAGAAAAACAAAACAAAACAAAAACAGAGAGAGTGGAGAATATGAAAATTACAGGAGCGGAAAGGCAATGGTCCCAGATGAATTGTTGAACTTGGTCCGTGATTGAGCCTCCACCACACGCCCTGCACATCTAACTCTGTCACTGTCACTGTCACTTCACTACTTAAAGGGTTAACCTCCAAAACAAAAAATGAAGGAGCAAGTGAAGAGAAACCTAGCGTGGGAGATTAAGCATTCGGAAGGTTCCATCGCAAGAATTGCAGAAAGCAGATGCCGGCAACAAGGGAGAGAAGGATCCAACTTTTCCTCCATCGTTGCCACTTCCACTGCACTGCACAGCATCAACAACCTTCACCACTCAAAACATGGGCCTTTCCACGTTACTCCACATTTGGGCTTCTGTCCCAACAAAATTTATTTGGGCCTAACACTTAGGCTCATCATATATACACCTCCTTTGATTTATAAGTACACTTCCTTTATTTTTTTTTTAAAATTTATAAAATATTGTAGTTTTTTTTTTAAATTTTCTAATTTTACACCTCCAACTTTCAATTTTCTATTTTCTTCTTTTTTTTCACACACATTTTTTTTTTTAATTTTTACATGTTACTAAAGTAGGTGTGATGAAGGAAAGGTAAGGAAGTAGGGACGGCAACGGATGGGGCGGGTACGGGGTTCATGATACCCGTCCCCGTCCTCGCGAGGCAAAT